TATATATATATATATATATATATATATATATATATATATATATATATAATGGATTTCAATTCAAACGATATATCAACGAGAAATTGACTAAAATCCTTAATTTCCTCAATCAAATTTATTTTTTAGCCACTTTTTAGCATCGATTCCTATTTTAATCAAAGTTTATGCAAATACCTTATATATTTGCGTAAACCTATTTTCAAGTAAAAAAGGAATTGTATGCAAATGAGGATTCTTATGCAAGTTTTGCAAGTTTACGTAAAGATACAAGTTCTGAGGGAAATAACTAAATCAACAAAAGGATACAAGTTCTAAGGGAAATTAATTAATATAGTAATTTTTCACGGCGTGTTAAATAACCGTAGGTTCGCACTTGACAGTTTCGTAATTTGTGGATATACTAAAGTGTAAAAAAAAAGAGAAGTTTTTGAACCAAGTATGCAGTTGCAGGAACCAAGGGGGTGCTTGGGATTGCTTATTTGAAACAACTTATGTTTTTCTACAAAAGTCCTTATCAACTTATTATAAGTTAGAATGATTTAATTTCTTCAAAAACTTTTTATTTATCAGTTTGACACCGGTATAAACTGTTTATCAAAACACTTAAAAATGCATATTACCGGTGCCACACCGGAATAAGTCAATAAGTTGTTTTAGTAAGCAATCTCAAACACCCCCCAAATATGTAAATTAGTTATAGGTCCCCAAAAATACGTTCGCAGTTGCAGATTTTTTTTCAAGTTTACATATTTGGTCCCTGTAATTACGTACCTGTCAATTATAAACTTATGACTATTTTCATATTTCAAATGAGAAATGACTATAAAATAAAACTATAATATCAAAATAATTCTTTACTTGTAAGACTTGGTATCATGTGAGACAAATGGTTTTTCATGAAACCTTAACACCAATTCTCAACCCTTAGATTAAATATATAATCTGACAATCTGAATATTTATAAACGTAACGAGATTTCTCAATAATCACAAAATTATCACCGTACAACTTTAAATCATTAGATCATTAGCTTATAAAATTAATCAATGAATATAAATCGATTTTACAAATCTTAAAAAAAAACTTTGATCTCTTAATTATAATAATGCTTAAAGATACAAGTTCTGAATAAGGGGTTACTTTCTGAATTTGGTTATTGTAAAAATAAGCGTCCAACCTTTTTTAACTAATGACAGCTGTATTATGCAGGGACCATCCATCGATCACCACGTGCCAATATCTGATTAGTCTAGATCTGCAGTACTTTCACTGTATTCCCACCTTCACTGGGAACCACGCATCCACATCCAACTCAGCTTCATTTTTCTCCGTTGTGGACCCCACCCTTCTGACGTGTGACTGACATGACATGGCATCCCACTCACTCTCTGCTTCTGCTATAAAAACCCACACTTTCCACTTACTTTCAACTCATCATCATCTTCTTCTTCTTTGCAGAGCATTTTTAGAAGCTTCAAAACCCATCCCTTTCTCTCTCTCTAATTTCATGGCATTTTCTTCTCTCTCTAGACTTGTTATTTCACTGTGTGTACTGTGTGTTTCTGTGAGCTCAGCTGCTAGATTTGATGAGCTGTTTCATCCATACTGGGCTTCTGATCACTTCACCATTGAAGGCCAAACTGTAAACATGAAGCTTGACAAGTTTTCTGGTAATTTTTTTACAGAAATTCACATTCTTTAATTATAATTCATCAAGATTTGGTTTTTCTTTCATGGGTTTCAATTTGATCCCAATTTCTTGCTTTTTAGGTGCTGGGTTTTCGTCAAAGAGCAAATACATGTTTGGAAAAGTCAACATCCAGATCAAGCTTGTTGAGGGTGATTCTGCTGGAACCGTCACTGCTTTCTATGTATGAAATCTTGCAAAAAGTCAAAGTCAAAGTTTTCATTTTTCATTTTGATTTTGATTTTGAGTTTCTGTGTGATTGTTGATTGATTGATCAGATGTCATCAGACGGTCCAAAACACCACGAGTTTGATTTTGAGTTCCTGGGGAACACTACAGGGGAACCTTACCTTGTGCAGACTAATGTATATGTGAATGGGGTTGGTAATAGAGAGCAAAGGTTGAAGCTCTGGTTTGATCCAACTAAAGACTTCCATTCTTATTCCATCCTCTGGAACCAGCATCAAGTTGTGTAAGCTCCAACTTTCTTTCACACACACACACTGTGTGTACAACTCTTTAATGCACATAGTGTTGCTAAATAAACCCTTTTGCTAATCAAATGCACTGTATTTTTTCTGTCTGAATGTAGTTTTACGGTTGATGAAACACCAATAAGGGTTCATACTAATTTGGAGCACAAAGGCATACCGTTCCCTAAAGATCAAGCCATGGGTATCTATAGCTCAATATGGAATGCTGATGACTGGGCCACACAAGGTGGTCGAGTCAAAACTGACTGGACCCATGCACCGTTTGTTGCATCTTATCGTGGGTTTGAAATTAATAGTTGCGAGTGTCCGACCATGATGGCGGATTCCGATAATATGAGGCGGTGTGCTAGCAATGGTGGGTGGTGGGATCGCCCGACAATGTCACAATTGAATTTGCATCAGAGTCACCAGCTCATGTGGGTGCGAGCAAACCATATGATTTACGATTACTGTACTGATACCGCTAGGTTTCCGGCGGTACCAGTCGAATGCCAACATCACCGCCATCATTAGCTCGTGATTTAGGGGTGTTTCTGTAAAAAATTTGGTCAGAAAACAGATGGGCGTTGGTTGAACAACATGAACTCTATGTTACATATTTTGGGTTCGTATGAAAAAGTGGAGCATTGCTCGATTTGGCATTTTGCACCATCTGTCTTGTATTCATTACTTTGTAAGCTCTTTGTCGATGGTTTTAAAAACATGAACTGTTCAATGCAATAACTTTTGAACATGAATATTATGCAATACCTTGAATATTATATAATGTCTGAAAATAGAAACATATTTGTTTTATGTTTAATAGAAAATTAATGAAATAATTGAAAGACGAAAACACCCCTGAGTTAACGGATTCTGTTAACAAGAGTTAGTTAAAGGGACCAAAAATGTAGCAAAACGACAATCATTAAAACTGTAATTAATTTAAAAAAGAGATAAAAGTGTAATTACACGATAATATCGACACCTTTTCTATTTGGGTCCCGTGAGGGAATATCGAACCACCCTTGATTTGATCTTAAAGCCAAATGAAAATTGCTTTAGAAGTGACGGATCCAATATTTTTAATATATATTTTAAATTATTATTATTATCATTTTAAAAAATACATACAAATATATCAACACAGTTAGGGGTGTTATTCTGGCGGTTGAATAAGTTTTTGATTTACTCGGTTCGGGTTAGTTGGTTTATAACTTTTTTTAACACTAACTGATAACCAAACCAAATAAGGTTTGGTTTACTTGATTTCAAGTTATTGGATTGTTGAGTTATTCGGTTCGATAACTGGTTAAACCGAATAAGAATTCATACTTTTTGTTGGACACTTGCTCCAATGGAAATAGTTTCTTCCATTTAACTTTGGCATTTGAGTTTGTGATTGTGATTGCAAAACATTCACAAAACTTGAAGCCATACGTTTATGGCTCTGATACCATTTGTTAGAGAATCAAAGAGACAAAACACTATTAAGTATGTATAGAATTGTATCAAAGTGTATATCAATACAATTAACAAACAAAGAAAATAAAACAATATATAGAAACAGAACCATTGCGACCATGAATGCCAACCAACACAACGCTTCAGAAACAATTTTGGAGGGAAAACCCATAACCGACTAACGAACTTAATGGTCACTTGACAAACCGTTAAATAACAGTCAACCGCCAAAATGTTTAGCTTGCTTTTAACATTCCCCCATAAGCTAAACATCAAAAACACCCAAATCCTTCTTCAATTTGATGAAACTTCCACGTTGCAGAGACTTTGTAAAGATATCAGGAACTTGATCCTTTGTGCTACAAAACAGAACATCAACTTCACAATTTTGAATGAGCTCTCTAATGAAGGGAAATTTGATTCTTATATGTTTGCTTTTCCCATGATAAACATGGTTTCTAGTCAAGGCAATGGCAAATTTATTTTCACAATAAATCTGTGTAGCAACTCCTTGAGGTATCTCCAATTCTTCCATATGTTCTTGGCCCTTTCTCTTGTATACACTTGGTTGGTCCACATATACATCCTCTTCAAGATAACCATTTAGGAAAGCTGATTTAACATCCATTTGATGGACATTCCAGTTGTTTTGAGCAACAATAGCCAAGATCAAACGTATAGTTTCAAGCCTAATTACAGGAGCAAATACCTTTTGATAGTTGATTCCAAATTGTTGCTTGTAAGCTTTTACCACCACTCTGGCCTTATGTTTGTCAACTTCTCCTTTTCATTAAATTTAGTCTTATAAATCTATCTTATTCCTACGGATTTCTATCCTCTAGGCAGATCCACCAACTCATAAGTGTTGTTCTTTACAATTGATTTCATTTCACAGTCCATAGCATCTCTCCATTTCTTATCAAAACAGGCTTCCTCATAATGTAATGGATCTGCATCAGCAAATAAAGCAAAGTTAGCCAAATCACTTATGTTGATAGCTTGAATATTTTCATATAGATCCCTTAAGCTTCTGGTTTTTCTAATAGGCCTATTTGATGAAGATGAACTTCCAGAACTTGCATCTTCTGTGTTGGATGTTGTCTGATCAGGAGAACTTGGAGAAGACACTCTTAATGGAGTGGTAGGCTCATTCTGATCAGGACAAGTACCTGAGCTATTTTGATCATGAAAATCTTCACTCAGAATACAACTCCTATTGTCATCATAGGTCAGTCCACTCCAAGACTTATCTTCATCAAAGATGACATCCCTACTTGTGATGACTTTCTTAGTCATTGGATTGTACAGTTTATATGCTTTAATGTTGTAGCTATAACCCACAAATACAACTTTTTCAAACTTCTCATCTAGTTTTCCTCTCTTTTGTTTTGGTATATGAACATGGGTTACACACCCAAATGTTCTCAAGTTATTCATACTGTAGGGTCGGTTGCAGTTATAAAATGTCGTATTACAAAGTGATTTAAGGTCCCAAAGTGATAACAATAAATCACGGTGCAAACTGACCCAATACAACAAATGCGGATTAACGAGATCTATATATTGTATATTTTTGTCTAACAAAGTTATATATATATATATATATATATATATATATATAACTAACAAAATATGACGAGAGGAAAAATAAAGGAAGAAAGAAACTTGGTGGTGTAGTTCTTTTACATCCTACATGTACATATATATTGTGATAACCAGATCCTGGTTATTACCCAAGGTATTTAATACGTGATTATTTGTTTGAATAATTATGTGATAGCATGATAAACTGATATGTTTATTACATGCTGAGATGTAAAAATATGCAATATTTGGATATATATATATATATATATGTGTGTGTGTGTGTATGGAATATAATATATATATATATATATATGTATATATGGGTAAGTATATATATATATGTGGGTGGTGTAGGATGTACCTACGTGGATGTATATATGCATGCATAGGTGTGCATGAATTTGTGTTAAGAATTGATTTTTTGGTTTAGTGTGAGGTGGCAAGGGGGGGAGCCGACCTTCCCATTTGGTGGGTATATAAGGGGGGGGGGGGTTACCCCTTCATTTGATTTCTGGCTACTTTGAGAAAATTTGAGAGGAAATTAGTGGGTTGTCCGGATTGCATATTAGAGGAAGAATTCAAGTTGATTTCAAGCTTCATAAGGTGAGTGGTTTCTAAATCTTTTGCATAAAAATTTATTACTGATTTTATTAGTATGCTTCGTATTTTTATCCTTGAAATGGAACTTTGATTATATTGCCTAA